TCTGATTGTGTCATTATTATTGTTGTTGTTGTTGTTGATGTCACCGCAATCATTGTCGCTTTTAGGACTATGAGCATACGATTATCATCATCACTATTTTATTTTTATTATTATTATAATCATTACTACTATCATTATCCTCATCGTTGCAATTATTTTCGTCATCAGTATCATCAATATCATTAAGCATCACCTACCATCACAATCAAGATGAAAATTAAGATGATGGTGTGATGAAGACGATGAAGATGGTGATGATAATGAAGATGAAAAGGAGAAAACTGAGGGAAATTAAAATCACATCCACAGAAAAGAATCTGGAAGAAGATAAAAAAGAAGAGGGAAAATAATAAGAATGAAGAGAGAAAATCAGAAGAAGACAAAGAACAATAACAAAAAAATAAAATAAAATAATAATAATCATAATAAAACAACGAACAAGAAAAAATAAAACGAGAGGAAAATAGCACGACTAAGACCAAGCCAGTCTTCGGAACCCCCCGGGAAGAGAGGACTCGAATCTTCCTCAATCAACGTTTCGAATCAACGTTTTCCCTTCTGGTTCGGAAACGTTTCCCTTCCTCTCCCGACTTGTAAACGACGTTTCCTCACAATAAAAAACTTTCCCCGCCATCTTATTTATCGGCTTCTAAGTTATTACCCTTTTGTTCCTAGTTATGGCTTTATTCGGGTTCTATTGTTCTTCGCTTTCTGTCGCTAGTTATGTGTATGTATATACTAAGAAAATTCTTTGAGGAACATATAATGAAATCCCCAAAATAGACGTAATATTCAGAGCATCATTTCAAAATCAAAAAGATATTTCTTAAATAATAAAAATTGATTTGGATGGAACATGTAATCAAATCCCAAAATCAGGGCAAATTCGTGAGTGAAAATTCAAGATCAAAGAGACGAAATTTCTTTTTAAAAATGATAAATACCTTTAAAAAAATACATAAAATCGAAGTAAATTTCAGAGTGTACATTCAAAATAAAAAAGAATAAGAAAAAAAATGGGTACTTAAGTCTTCTTCTTCCTCGATCAGCTGATCCTTGAGACAGACTCCTACGTCACAAACTCACCTGGAAAGAGAGAGACCGCAAGAGATTATAATGTGTAATTGTAGCTTTTTTTTTTTTTTTTTTTTTTTTTTTTTGGGGGGGGGGCGTTAATTGGAGGTGAGGTGAGGGGATACTTCAGTGTTTATTTTTTTGTTGTTTGTTTGTTAATCTACGTGGGATGTGCGTGACTGGGTTAAAATTCATCTTATATATACAATAATAAGGTGTAAGGATTTACATGTGTGTACAAACAACATGAAACTACATACGAACACACACACACACACACACACACACACACACACACACACACACACACACACACACACACACATACCCTTACCACCCATCCACATACCCACACAATGGCAGGTCAAATAGGCCTTAAAAGAAGTCATGATGGAGTCTGGCAAACCACACAGGTCATAGAGGGGGGGGGGGGGGGTAGAGGGAGAGAGAAACGGAGGGAAAGACAAAGATGAAGAGGGAGGGAAGGAGGGGGGAGGAGGACTGAGGGAGGGAAGGAGGGGGGAGGAGGACTGAGGGAGGGAAGGAGGGGGGGAGGAGGACTGAGGGAGGGAAGGAGGGGGGAGGAGGACTGAGGGAGGGAAGGAGGGGGGAGGAGGACGAGGGATGGAGAAGGAGAGGGAGGAAGACTGAGGGAGGGAGGGAGGGGGGAGGAGGACTGAGGGAGGGAAGGAGGGGGGAGGAGGACTGAGGGAGGGAAGGAGGGGGGAGGAGGACTGAGGGAGGGAAGGAGGGGGGAGGAGGACTGAGGGAGGGAAGGAGGGGGGAGGAGGACTGAGGGAGGGAAGGAGGGGGGAGGAGGACTGAGGGAGGGAAGGAGGGGAGAGGAGGACTGAGGGAGGGAAGGAGGGGGGAGGAGGACTGAGGGAGGGAAGGAGGGGGGAGGAGGACTGAGGGAGGGAAGGAGGGGGGAGGAGGACTGAGGGAGGGAAGGAGGGGGGAGGAGGACTGAGGGAGGGAAGGAGGGGGGAGGAGGACTGAGGGAGGGAAGGAGGGGGGAGGAGGACTGAGGGAGGGAAGGAGGGGGGAGGAGGACTGAGGGAGGGAAGGAGGGGGGAGGAGGACTGAGGGAGGGAAGGAGGGGGGAGGAGGACTGAGGGAGGGAAGGAGGGGGGAGGAGGACTGAGGGAGGGAAGGAGGGGGGAGGAGGACTGAGGGAGGGAAGGAGGGGGGAGGAGGACTGAGGGAGGGAAGGAGGGGGGAGGAGGACTGAGGGAGGGAAGGAGGGGGGAGGAGGACTGAGGGAGGGAAGGAGGGGGGAGGAGGACTGAGGGAGGGAAGGAGGGGGGAGGAGGACTGAGGGAGGGAAGGAGGGGGGAGGAGGACTGAGGGAGGGAAGGAGGGGGGAGGAGGACTGAGGGAGGGAAGGAGGGGGGAGGAGGACTGAGGGAGGGAAGGAGGGGGGAGGAGGACTGAGGGAGGGAAGGAGGGGGGAGGAGGACTGAGGGAGGGAAGGAGGGGGGAGGAGGACTGAGGGAGGGAAGGAGGGGGGAGGAGGACTGAGGGAGGGAAGGAGGGGGGAGGAGGACTGAGGGAGGGAAGGAGGGGGGAGGAGGACTGAGGGAGGGAAGGAGGGGGGAGGAGGACTGAGGGAGGGAAGGAGGGGGGAGGAGGACTGAGGGAGGGAAGGAGGGGGGAGGAGGACTGAGGGAGGGAAGGAGGGGGGAGGAGGACTGAGGGAGGGAAGGAGGGGGGAGGAGGACTGAGGGAGGGAAGGAGGGGGGAGGAGGACTGAGGGAGGGAAGGAGGGGGGAGGAGGACTGAGGGAGGGAAGGAGGGGGGAGGAGGACTGAGGGAGGGAAGGAGGGGGGAGGAGGACTGAGGGAGGGAAGGAGGGGGGAGGAGGACTGAGGGAGGGAAGGAGGGGGGAGGAGGACTGAGGGAGGGAAGGAGGGGGGAGGAGGACTGAGGGAGGGAAGGAGGGGGGAGGAGGACTGAGGGAGGGAAGGACTGCCTTTCCCCTTTCGCCCTTTCTCTCTCCCTCTTCATAGTCCTCCCCCGTCCTCGCTCTCATCCTCTCCCTTCTCCTCCTCACTCCCCCCCCCCTTCTCTTCCTCCCCTCCCTCCCTCTTCTCCCTCAGCCACATATCTCCCCCTCCACTCTCGCTACCTCGCCTTTCCCCCCCTCCCCTTCCACCCTTCCTCTCCCTCTTCCCTCTCCCCCTCTCGCCATCTCCCCCCCCCACCTCCTTCACGCACTCCCGCCCCCCTTCCAAGCACAAGCGTGTCTCCTTTCGGCCAACAACCGCCTCGTCACTCCGGCGTTCGTGAGTTAATCCATTCACCTTTCCCCTTCACAATTTTTTTTTCATTTATCTTGTACAATCGCCTGTGTTTACTTTATTTCCTTTCGATAATCCTGGTAATGGTGGTGATGGTGATGTATCGGCGGCGGCAGTGGGTGATGGTGTTGGTAATGATGATGATAATAGTGCTGGATGGCATTGATAATTAATACTCGCAATCAGAGACATAGCTGGTAATAACATCAATAATTATCAATATATATATCATGAAATATATAATAATAATAATAATAATAATAATAATAATGAATATAACTATTACCCCCCCCAAAAAAAAATAATAATAATAATAAATAATAAATAACTAAATAAAAATTTAATGCGTCGATGAAGCACTTTCGCTATTTTGAACGAAAATAAAATGACACTCCCTCCCAACTTATTCAAAACACTTAAAAATTTGAAAAATGACCCCTTCTAAAAATATTAAACCAAAATCAATACCTCAAGCAAGCAAAATAATAACAACAATGATAATTAACAATTAATAAAAAAAATAATAAAATAGTAATAACAATAATAATAATAGCAATAATAATAATAATAATAATAATAATAATAATAATAATGATAAAAATAATGATAATAAAAATAATAATGATAAAAATAACAATACATGATAATAAAAGCAGTAGCAAAAGAGAGTCATTGCGTGCGAGTCCCACCGGCGAGGCCCTTCTCGACGCGGCCGGGGCAGGAAAGGGCGCTCGGACGCAACGGCAGTCACTCTTGGCCACGATCGACGCGCAGAAAGGTCTTTGCTTTCTGGATTTTTACCTTTTATTCGTTTTCTTTTCTTAAATATTTTCTCCCTTCGTTCACTTCTCTTTGGTTTTTGCGTTGGGTTGAATTCCGTTTATCTTTTGTACGTTTGCTTTCGTTTCTTCTTTCTGTTCCTTCCTCCTAATCCTTCTCCTCCTCACCCTCCTCCTCTATCTCCAAATCATCCTCTTCCTGTACCTTCTTCCTCTTCCACCTCCTCCTCCTCCTCTACCCCCCCCCCCCCCTCCTCTTCCCATACCTTCCTTTGACTCGTTTTCACTGTCTGTTAGCCAAGCGCAAGGGAGCGGGACCAACACTGTCGTCTTCGCTTAGACCACCATGGGGGGGAGCAGGAGAAGGGGGAGGGCGAAAAAGGAGGAGGAGGAGGAGGAGGAGGAGGAGGAGGAGGAGGAGGGGGAGGAGGAGAAGAAGAGGGGGGAGGAGGAGGAGGAGGAGAAGAAGAAGGAGGAGGAGGAGGAGAAAGGGGGAGGAGGAGAAGGAGGAGGAGGAGGGGGAGGAGGAGGAGAAGAAGAGGGGGGGAGGAGGAGGAGGAGAAGGGGGAGGAGGAGGAGGAGAAGGGGGAGGGGGAGGAGGAGGCGAAGTGGGAGGAGGAGGAGGAGAAGGGGGAGGAGGAGGAAAGGAGGAGGAGGAGGAGGAGGAGAAGGGGGGAGGAGGAGGAGGATTAAGAAAAAGGAAGATTTGTAGGAGGAGCAGGAAGAGAAGAAAGCGGCGAAACAGGTGGAAAAGGTTGGGAAGTAACAAGGGAAAGGAAGAGGGGAAGGAGGGAGAGGGGAAAATGTGGTAGCAAAAGAGGGAAAGGGGAAATAAGCAAGGGAAACTGAAGGGGGGGGAGAGGGAGGGGACAGACGTAGAGAGAAAGGCATACAAAATATGCGGAGAAATACAAAGAGAAACATACGCACAAAGAGGGAGGGGAGGTAGGGAGGGAGGGAGGGAGAAAGAGAGACAGACAGAGAGGATAGAGGGATGGATAGAGAGACAGACAGATAGATAGATAGATAGATAGATAGATAGAGACACGAGAAAAAAAAGAGATAAGAAAAATAAAGAAAGAAGAACAGAGGAACAGAGAAAACCCGAAGCGTAAAAAACAAACATGAGCAAATAGCGAAGCCGAGACCAAGAGCGCAGCTGAACCGGGCATATCACATCGTTCACCGGAACCAGGAACCGGTCGCCCGGGTTAAGGCCGGGAAAAATTCAGGGGAGCCAGGACCCCTTGACGAGGCGCTCGCCGGAAGAACTCGCAGATAAAACACACGCGTGCATGCATACATACGTACATACATATACGTACATACACACACATACGTATATACATTCATGTACACCACCCACTATCACACACAAACACAAACACACACACACACACACACACACACACACACACACACACACACACACACACACACACACACACACACACATGCGAAAAAAGGAAATGGAAAAAATCAGTGTCTTCCTGATCGACAGTCTATCGTGATTGAAATATACCGTTGCATTTAGGCTACTGTATCTTTTTCATCACCATCACTATTGTTATTTTTATCATTATTTTTATCATTATCATCATTTCTCATCACTATTCCTATTCTCATCATCATTATTTTCTTATTTTTACTATTATTATTATCATTATAATTATTGTTATAGTTATTACTGTCAGTTTCACTATAATTACCATCATCATTATCATTACCGTGTCCATCACCATCATCATAATCATTATCCTCGTCGAAAAGGGAAAATATGAAACACCTAAAAGAAAGAAAGAGAGAAAAGAAAGAAAGGAAAATAAAGAAAACAGAAAAGAAAGAATAATAAAGAAAATAAGAAAAATAAGAAAAGAAAAGGAAAAAAGAAAAGATAAGAAAAAAAAGAAAAGGAAAAAAGAAAAGATAAGAAAAAAAAGAAAATAGAAAGAAAATAAAGAGAAAGAAAAAGAGAAAAGAGAAAGAAAATAAAAAGAAAGAAAAAGAGAAAAGAGAAAGAAAATAAAAAGAACGAAAAAGAGAAAAAGAAAGAAAATAGAAAGAAAGAAAAAGAGAAAAGAGAAAGAAAATAAAAAGAAAGAAAAAGAGAGAAAAAAAAAGAAAAAGAAAAAAAGAAAGTAAAACAGAAAGCCCAAGACAGGCCTGATTCGAACGGTTCCTCCACTCACCTTCGGGCCCCTTGAGCATCTCGAGCTCCACGGAGTAGTCCCAGTACTCCAGGGAGTTCTGTCCGGAGTCCGTGTGCGGGAGCTTGAAGTCCCTCGCCCTGGGCAGCAGCTCGCCCGTGCCCGGAGTCCAGGCCCGGCCGGTGCCCAGCGTGGTCAGCCTCCACTCCATCTCGCGGTTATGGTTTCCTTTGAGTTTCTTTAGCACTGTTCTTTGGATCGCTCGTTGGGCGGAAACAACGGTTTTCTTCTTTTATTTATGATGTGAAACTTTATCGTTTCTATTCCTTTCACTTTTTTAAATTCTTCCTCTTCCGCTAATCATATGCTTTCAGTCTGTACTGCTATATCTCATTCCTTCCTCTTCCTCGTTTCGTCTTTCTTTCTCTCTCTACAAGCGCATGGAATAGACTTTCCTTTCAAAGGCACGGAAAATCAACACAGCGCTGGCTGGTCGTCAGTCCCTTTCCCCATTACCCTGACAACATGTAGAGCTATATCTCGTTCTCTCTAACTATCTGAATGATCTCGTTTAAGCTGAATCTGTGCGGATTTTGTTTTTATCTTTTTTTTTTTTTTTTTTTTTTTACTTTTATGGTGTTTTTGGTTTTTGTTTTGCTTTTCTTCTCTCTCTATTTATTCTCCTTCGTTTCACTAAGCTGTCGAGTTCGATTCCGAGAAAACGAGATTTTAAATTATCACTGATTATCTTGATTCGTTATCGCTCTTTTTTCTAATCTTATTCTCCTTCTTTATCTTCTTATCTCTCTTTTCTCTGACAATTAATCTCTTCTTTGTCCTCTCCTCCTCCTCTTCTCTCTTCTTAGAATCTTTAAGTTACGAAACATCCACACCAGAGGATGCCTCGGGGATGATCAACCATCCCTTGCTCTCTCTCTCTCTCTCTCTCTCTCTTCTCCTTCCTCTTTTCTTCTCGCGTCTCCCTTTTGTCCTTTTTTTTCTCAGAATGTTTTTATTCCGAAATTCCTCTGCAAATCTTCAGGCCAGGTCACGTGACCCCATCCTGAAAGATTCTTTGCGTTTCTCGAGTTTCTTCATACTCTGGTCCAAGATTTTTTTTCCTTTCTTCCTTGTTCGTGTCTTTGTGAAAATCCCAATCACATTTATCCACTTTCGGGATAACTATCACGCAATAATAATCTGGAAGAATGCATCATTTTAATATCAAGATTACAGATGAGAGAGAAAAAAAAAAACACGAAGAGAAAACGAAATAAAAATGGAAAACAAAGAAAACGCGAACAAGTGTTGCCAATTACGTAAATGCGTCGCTTCCGGAAATAAAAGGAGTGAAAAAAAATGCACCAGATTGACGGGTTCACTGTACTTGTTGCTCGTGGAAAATCGCGCTGGAATGCGGCGCTCGCGAGGACAGCAATAGACAAATAACTCGATGGCGGTGATCGTGATAACGACAGCAACAACAATAAACACAACAACAACAACAAACACAACAGCAACGACGACAACGAAGGCAAAGAGCAACAACAAAAGCACCAAAATAGAAATCAATAGTTTTCATCCTCCAGCTCCTCCTCTTCTCCTCATTTTCTTCATATCATTATTACTACTGATTTTATTATTATTATCCTCCTCCTCCTCCTCTTCTTTTTCTATTCCCGCCCCCTCTTCTTCCTCCCCCTCCTCATCTTCCTCCTGCCCCTTCCTCTCCCCTTCTTCTTCTCCTTCTTCTCCTTCTCCTTCTCCTTCTCCTTCTCCTTCTTCTTCTTCTTCTTCTTCTTCTTCTTCTTCTTCTTCTTCTTCTTCTTCTTCTTCTTCCTCTTCTTCTTCCTCTTCCTCTTCCTCTTCCTCTTCCTCTTCTTCTTCTTCTTCTTCTTCTTCTTCTTCTTCTTCTTCTTCTTCTTCTTCTTCTCCTTCTCCTTCTCCTTCTCCTTCTCCTTCTCCTTCTCCTTCTCCTCCTCCTCCTCCTTCTTCTTCTTCTTCTTCTCCTCCTCCCCCCCCCCCCCCGCCACACCCTCAGCCTCCCTCGCGCCACGTGACTCAGCCGCATCCTCAGTAGCTGAATCATCCTTCAACGGACTCCGCCGGCGTCCCTTCCTCCTCTCCTTCTGTCCCTTTCATTCGCCCTATTCGCCTTAACCGCAGCTGCCCTCCTTCCCCTTCCCTCCACTTCCCTCCCCTCCCCTCCACCCCCTTCACTCTCTTTACTACCTATTCTTAATCCTCTTCTTCCTACTCCTCTCCTTCTCTCCTTCCTTCCCTTCTTTCCTTCTCTCCCCTACCCATTCTCCCCTTCTTCCCTTCATTATTCACCTCCTCTTTCCCCTTCTCTCACCTCCCACTTTCATCTTTCCCCCTCTCCTCTCCCTCTTTCAGTTCGTTCTCTCCCTCTTCGCCCTTTTCCCATTCGTAGAAAAATCCTGTCGTGCACGTGATGGCGGTTCCTCTTATCGCTATGCATGGCTGTTATCTCAATCTCTTTTCCCTGTTATCTTTTCCTTGTTTTTTGTATATTATTGCTTTTACTCCTTGTTCTTACCTCCCCCCCCCCCCCTCTCTCTCTCTCTCTCTCTCTCTCTCTCTCTCTCTCTCTCTCACTCTCTCTCTCTCTCTCTCTTGCTCTCTCTCTCTTGCTCTCTCTCTCTCTCTCTCTCTCTCTCTCTCTCTCTCTCTCTCTCTCTCTCTCTCTCTCTCTCTCTCTCTCTCTCTCTCTCTCTCTCTCTCCCTCCCTCATATCCATAACTACGCCGATGATGATTTGCAACAAATTTCAATGAGATTATAATTCGTCATGTCTCTCGTTCCTTACTCAACATCGTGTCTAATTCGCGGATGAGTAACTACTGCAAGGAATTCCGTAGAGAGAGGGGGAGGGAGGGAGGGAGGGGCGAAGAGGGAGAGGGAGGGAGGGAGGGAGGGAGAGAGAGAGAGAGAGAGAGAGAGAGAGAGAGAGAGAGAGAGAGAGAGAGAGAGAGAGAGAGAGAGAGAGAGAGAGAGAGAGAGAGAGAGAGAGAGAGAGAAAGAAGAAAGGGAAAGGAAAGAAAGAAAAGCGAAGAGAAAATTAAAAGAGAGAGAAAGACATAAATACCACAAATAGGCAACAGGCACAGGGCCCCACAGGAGAGCAAGCCGAGCGTCGCAGAGTACACTGGGGTCTCACAACACAACCGCTCTGGCTGTCTAACGCTTGTAATAACGACAGAAATGATCCATGTGAACTCCCCCCTCCCCCCTCCCCCCTGCTACCCCCCCACTTCTCTCCTTTGATCTGTGAAACCCTTTCCTCCCTCTGCCTTCTCCTCTTTCTTCTATGGCCTTCTCTTCCCTTGTTTGCTCCATATTTAACTTCGCTTCCTTTTCCCTTTTCACTCCTCTCTCTTTTCCGCTTTCTGTGAAACCCTTGTCCTCTCCTCTCCTCTCTCCCCGTTCCATCTCCTTCCTTCCTTTGCTTGATGTGAAAGCCTTTTCCCTTCTCCTCCTCTCTCCTTTCTCCCTTTTCCCTTTTCCCTCTACTCCTCTCTTTTCTCCCTTTTCCCTCTCCTCCTCTCTCCTTTCTCCCTTTTCCCTTTTCCCTCTACTCCTCTCTTTTCTCCCTTTTCCCTCTCCTCCTCTCTCCTTTCTCCCTTTTCCCTTTTCCCTCTCCTCCTCTCTTCTTTCTCCCTTTTCCCTTTTCCCTCTCCTCCTCTCTTCTTTCTCCCTTTTCCCTTTTCCTTCTCTTCCCTTCCTCTGCTCTGTGTGAAACCCCTATTCACCTTCCCCGTCCCTTCTTCCCTCTTCATTACCACCTCTCCCCTTCCCCCGTCCCTCTTCCCCTTTATTTGAACATCCCCCCCCCCCCCCAGCACGCTCCCCCACCTGTCGTTTCTCTAATCTACCTCCACTTACTCTCTCCTCCTCCCTCCCCCCTCCTTCGCCAAATCTGAGCCCCTTCTCTCTCTCCCTCCCTTTCTTGATCTACTTCTACTCTAGCTATAATCTACCTTTAGCTACCTCCTCCCACACCCTCTGACTCTCCGTTAGTCACTAATCTATTTAATCTCGATCTACCTCCTGCTATTCCCCCCCCCCCCCCGCACTCCTTCATCCTCACTGCCTGGCCTTATCTACCTCCACTTTCTTCCTTCTCCTCCCTCAGCTCCCTCGCTCCTCTCATCTCCCTCTTCTTTACCTCCTAATTTACTTCTTTCTGATCTCCCTCAATCTACCTCCCCCCCCCCGTCCCCATTCTCACTCCCTCGAGCGTCTAATCGCCTTCCTTCTGATTTTCCTTTCCTTACTTCCTCCTTCCTCCCTCCCCTCCTTCACCTCTCCCCTACCTCTCTCCCTCCCCATCTTTCCTCACTTCCTCTCCCTCTCCCCTCCTCCCTCCTCTCCCCCTCCCTCCCTCCTCCCTCCCCTCCTCCCCCTCCCTCCCTCCCCTCTCCCCCTCCCTCCCTCCTCTCTCGCCCTCCCTCCTTCCATCTCAACCGCCATAAAACCGTCAATTAAATCGATCGATCAATCAAATTGGCCTCTTAATGTCTGCGATTTTGCTGTTCATAGTCGGTGTTCTCTCTGTTTGCCTCTCGCTTTCTCTTCCTTTCTCTGTCTGCCGGTTTTTTTGTGTTTTCATTCTTTTTGTGTTAAATTATCACTGATTATCTTGATTCGTTATCGCTCTTTTTTCAAATCTCTCTCTCTCTCTCTCTCTCTCTCTCTCTCTCTCTCTCTCTCTCTCTCTCTCTCTCTCTCTCTCTCTCTCTCTCTCTCTCTCTCTCTCTCTTCCACATTTGCTGTCTCTCCCTCATTTCCTATCCGCCCCCATCCCTCTCCCCCCCCTTTCCTCTCCCTCCCCACCTCCTCTCCGTTTAGTTGACCAAAGCAATAATGGTATCAACAAGAACATTTTCACACTGCAACATACGCAATGCACAACGTCAACTGCCCATATTGCAGATCACTGCTGTTCCTTATTTTCCTTTATTAATCACAACAAACTTGCGCTTGACTTATTGTCTCCTTGTCCTATTTGCTTTCTTCTTTGTTTTATGGACTTTTTCGGTCAATATACTAGTTAATTTTATCCTGATCCTAAAATAACTTTTTAAATATAGGCCTATGAACTATAATGATTTGGATCAGAAGAAAAATTATAGCAAAACACAACGAAAGTTTTATAATATCAATTTATAGTAGTATTAATTCCTTCTCTATCATCATCCGTTAATCTGACCTCCTTCCTTATTTTTTTCCTTCTGCCTCCTTCCCTCACCGTTCTTTCTCTTCCTCCCTCCTCCACCCTTCCTTTTCATCCTCCCCCCCTCCCTCCTCCTTTCCCCTCCTCACTCCTACCTTCCCTCCCCCCCCTTCCCCCTTCCCTCCGCATACAATCCCCTTATCCCTGGAACAGCCAATCAGGACACAGCTCTGAAGCCTTAACCAGCCAATCAGCGACTCGCTTTAGTACCTTAATGATTCCAGGTGCGTTGACTCTTCAGCGCGGTCGCTCCGCTGCGCACGCACACGTATCTACCAAAGATACACATAAATGCATACATACGAACATGCATACACATTTATACACGCACGCACACAGGTATACTGTACTTACACATAAGTACATACATATATATTGACATGCATACACATACATGCATGCACACGCAGAAGGTTCAATTAATCACACACACGCACACGTACACGCACGCACGCACACACCCATACACAAGCAAACGAAACAAAATATATCTACAAACAAACATGCACAAAACATACACACACCCTCACGCAGTAGAAAAATAAATACATAAACCTCACTCATGTTAGACAACAACACACTTTACCCCCAACCCCCCTTACCCGCTCTCTCCCCCCCCCCTGCTAAGTGTGATGAGCATGACCCTTCGCCACAGTTGTAGGAGGGGGGGGGGGTGAATGGAGAAGGGAGGGAAGGGGGAGGAAGAAGGGGGGGGGGGGGGGGGGGGTGAATGGAGAAGGGAGGGAAGGGGGAGGAAGAAGGGGGGAGAGAGGGGAGGGGGCAAAGAATAGGGAAGGGAGGGAAAGAGGCGGAAGAGAGGGGATGGAGGGGAAAAGAATAACACCCACCCTTTCCACCTCCCCCCTCTCTCCCTCCCTCTCTGCCCCCCCCCCCCATAAAGCAGAGCGCCTACTGGAATGTTAAATACGCAATTTTCCCCCAA